CCTCAGGAAAAATATATGTGGAGAGAGATGCGGCTTCTGCCTATTCTTTATTAACAAACATTGAGAAATGTACCCAGGACTATTTCTGTCCTAAATTAAACCATGAGTGGTGTAGCTATTGTGGTTGAGGCTAAGTTGGATCAAGTTTATTTATTTTTTAAATGGTGAGGGGTTGGTTGTAAACTAATGTTACTAATGAATTTACTTCTCTGAACTATTCTTTGCAGACAACTTGGTAGATTCTTTTTTGTATTGAGACCCCTGGAGATGGGTATGTTTTTCTGCATATTACGTCTAGAAGATGCACCTGGTTGATGGAGAACTTTCTGAGGAATATTTTTGACCAAGTGTTCTTGAAAGGTGGACTGCAAAAGACATTATTTAAAATTCTTAGGAGAGAAACCTGAAAGGAAATACAATGGCTGTAAGCATGGATGATGATGTTCCCCTCATTCTCACTTTGGATGAAAGTGGAAGCAACACCTCAGCAGTCAATGAGCTGGATTCAGAGGACTTTCCTAATGAAAGTAAGACTACTTGATAGGTTTTTTGGGGGGGAGGCGGGGGGAGGGAAGCATAGTTTATTTTCACTCACCTGCTGTAATTGTGGTTTCAGTTTTTCCCCCCAGCAGTTCCATTGTATTCTTCTTATGGAAATCTTACACAATAATTATTCACAGTCTTAGGAATAACCTCAAGTACCTATTTGGAAATTGTTTATTTGCTCAAAACTCTCATAACTCTAATGAATGTTTTGAGTAGTGAAGGAATAAATGACTTGATCCTTTATATGAGTCTGTGTCATGCAACCTTTGATACTCTCAGGTAATAAATTGAGGAGTTTTTGCCCCTAAGCTGAAGTTTCTCTTTTCCATATCTGTGCTCCGAGCTATGTGTGTTCTCATGTGATGCCATTGGACCAGGCTAACACACAGTATTTGCAGTCATGTCATCGGATGTTTCCCCTAGAACATAAACTTGTCTGTCTGTAGCTGCTGTATTTATTTTTTACTCTTTTGGTTTTATTC